TTTTCCCCCACATTCTTGCCAACACCTGTTGGTGGTTGTGTTTCTAATGATGGCTATTCTAACAGGGGTGAGGTAGAATCTTAGCATGGTTTTGATTTGCATTTTCTTAATGGCTAGGGATGGTGAGCATTTTTTCATGTGTTTTTGGCCATTTGAATTTCTTTTTTTGAGATCTGTTTAGTTCACTTGCCCATTTCTTTATTGGTTCATTCATTTAGGGAGAGTTTAGTTTTTTGAGTTCCCTACATATTCTGGTTATCAGTCCTTTGTCTGATGTGTAGCTGGCAAATATTGTTTCCCACTCTGTGGGTGTTCTCTTCAGTTTAGATACCATTTCTTTTGTTGAGCAGAAGCTTTTTAGTTTTATGAAGTCCCATTTATCTATGCTATCTCTTAGTTGCTGAGCTGCTGGGGTTCCATTGAGAAAGTCCTTGCCTATACCGATTAGTTCCAAAGGATTTCCTACTCTTTCCTGTACCAACTTTAGAGTTTGGGGTCTGATATTAAGTTTCCTTGATCCATTTTGAGTTAATACTGTTATAGGGTGATAAACATGGATCTAGTTTTTCCAGTTTTTTGCGGACTGCTAACCTGTTTTCCCAGCAGTTTTTTTTGAAGAGCTGTCTTTTCTCCATCATATATTTTTAGCACCTTTGTCAAAGATAAGTTGGTTATAGTTGTGTGGCTTCATATCTGGGTCTTCATGTCTCTTTTTGTGCCAGTACCATGCTGTTTTTATTGCTATTGCTTTGTAAAATAGTTTCAGTGTGTGTCATAGCTGTTTTACCACTTCTCTATTAATTTGTTGTCAGTGGTGTTCTTGTTGTGAGATAAGAATTTTAAATTGGATATTGATTATATATATATACATACATATATATGCAGTACTAGTTCTTGAACTCAGGGCTTTCACCTTGAGCCACTCTACTAGCCCTATTTTGTGAAGGGTTTTTTGACATAGGGTCTCTCGAATTATTTGCCCACACTGGCTTTGAAACATCATCCTCCTGTTCTGTGCTTCTTGAGTAGCTAGGATTACAGGCATGAGTCACTGATACCTGGCTAATGTAAATGTATTTTTTTATGTCAGTTACCAACTGAAACTTTAATAGACCAGTCATTAAGAGGCAATATTGTGTTCTACTAAATTGCTCTGCTGCAAGCTGTCATTTTATGTTCTAAAGTTATGTGTGCAGTGTTTTTCCATTTCTGTTTATGGTATAATCTTATTCCAAATGTACTCTATTTGTCCCAATGGTTTTTTGAACTGTCAACCTTCCCTTTAAAGGTCAGTTAAAACTTTAATACTTTAAAAACTATCTTTGCTTGAGTGGTAAAGCAGGGTCAGATAGATCTATTTTTAACTATTTGATGAACCTCCATAGTGATTATCCTAGCTCGACTAATTTACATTTGGAGGGAGAGATTTGCTGGGAAGGAAAGGAGGGAATGATGTGTGAAGAACATCAAAATGTGTTACTTATATATACATAAAAGTAGCATAAAGAAACCCACCAAATATTTTCAAAGGAAAGGGAAGAAGGAGGGGTTAAGGAAATATGAAATAATGTGAATTAGTTCAAATACACTGTGTGTAAATATGCAGGTTTCACTATGTACTTGTACTATAAACAAATGGTATTTGTACTATTAATGGATCCTTAATATTAAAATACCTTTTCTGTGGTATAACTTGTGACAAGTTGAATAACTGTTTTGACAAGTTGAATAACTCTTTTGACAAGTGGAAATTGATAAGGTGTACTAGACTACTTCTTTCCCCCACAGGTCTCTGTCTATTCACTTCCATGCCCATCTTTTATCATTGGCATTAATTGGGAAGTTGACATGTCTTTGAGCTTTGAGAGGGAGGACTTGGTGAACCTCTGGTCTATTATGCTATTTGACTCATGTGAAAGAATCTCGCTTTCCCTTTTCACTCCATTTTGAATTTTATCTTTTCCTCACCTCTGGTGAATCATAACTGATTATTTTAATTTAGATTCACTTAGAGACCTATCCATGACCTACACTTTTAGGGTACAAGCCCTGAAACCTTAAGCATTTTATCTGACATCTCTAACATTTCTCTTTTTTTTCATGTTTTGAACTTTGCTTTTAGATTTTCTCTCAAAGAACATTGTTGATGGGGTGAATTTTGTCAAAATATATTTCATGTATGTATGAATATACACTGAAACCCTTCTACACAGTTAATATAAGGTAATAAAATAATTTCCTTAAAAACACATTGGGTTTCTATCTTTTATATACTTTTGGTATGTGTTAAAAAAGAATTTTCTCTACATCCAAACTTCATTCCCCCTTATCGTTATCTCATTGGTGTTCTCTGGCAGAAGCATTAAATGGCAGTGGGGCTCCAGAGAAAGAAACTGAAAATCCAGAATATTAAAAAATATTCCAAATACAGAATAGATATTCTGTTTACACATTGTGCATGATTTTGTGTGTATGTATGTTGCATATATATATATATGTGTGTGTGTTTGTCTGCATTCTGTTTTCATTTATTCATAAGCTTAAGGTTATATGGTGCAATAGTTTTGGCAATTTAATTTACATAATAAACCCAATTCATTTGGGACACAACTTAAGCTCTTTTCCTCTGCACTACCTTTAAAAGAACTACAATCCCACATGACTCTGAACATTTGCAAACTACATTACTTTATTGCTATATCATAATAAATGATTGCTAACAGCTATGGAAATTTTGTTATCTTCCAAACACAATCATTAGGACTTAGTGTGTACACACTCAATCAAAACATGAACACAAACGCAAACTTTTCCTAAGGTTATAATTAGAAGCAGAGGGGCAGATATTTGATAAGTGAAAATTGAACTTACACTATGTCCTCAAAACGAAAGTATTTCCTGACAAATTATATAAAAATTATTGTAATGAATAAAATTAAGTCCCTTGAGTCTCCAGTCATAACTTTTGCTTTGTCCATGTACAACCACTGTGTTATTTTGTATTTTCAAGCAACATTTTCACTCTCTTGACACCTTTAATACCAATTTCTTTTCTGAAAAATATTTTCCCATTTCCTGCTGATATTTTTGATGAACATTCTAGAATAATATAATTTTACATTGTATTGAGACTTCTAAGCAACTAAAGGAGATGATTTTAGTTACCTATGTCTAAAACCAACACTTACTTAGTCCCAGGACCCATTAACTGGTCTTGCTCCTGTGGGGAACTGCAATTTCTCTGAAGCTCTGCTGATGTTTCTGGATCTTTCTTTTCCATGTGGAATAATAAACCTGCCAGATTACCATTGATTGGGACCTGATTCTCTCATCCTGTCATTTGCTACTATAGCCCTCCTTATTTCTGCATGCTGGGTCTTTTTGCACCTTACAGTGTCAATTCCATTGTATTTTTAGAAACTTTACATGTGTGAGATATAATATATGCAACATAATCAATCGTTCAACTGAACACTTTCCAGAAAACTGCATTTAGAGTTAGACATCCTCAGTGATGAGTACCTCTCCTGCCTTCAAAAGTCACAGTATTGTAGAGTGTTGAACCACAGTCAACAGCAGCCTCCAAAGTAAGAGGGTCCATTCTCCTTCACAGCCCTGGATACCTGGATAGTGATGAGTGGCTTCTTTTTAAGCCAAGTCTTGCAGATAAAAATCTCTTAGCCCATGACAACATCTGGTCACCTTGTTACACTCTACTTGGTTTAATACTATGCTGACAGTACAGCAACCATGAAAAAAAACACTGGCTTATGCATGCAAGCCCAGTTTTCATGAAACTCTTGAGCCTGGAAAAAGACTTAATACAGGTTAAACATCCATGATCTAAAAATCTGAAATGCTCTGAATCCAAAGCTTTTTGAACACTGACATGATGCTCAAACAGTTTCAGATTGGACTGGAGGTGTGGCTCAACTGGTAGAGCACTTGCCTAATATGCCCTTGAGGTCCTAGGTTCAATCCCCAGTACACCAAAAAAATTTTATTAAAAAATAGTTTCACATTTTAGAGCATTTCAGATTTTTAAAATTAGGTCTGTTCAACTGGTAAAATCTATGAAAATATTACAAAATCCAAAAAACTCCAAAATCTGAAACATTCATCGTCCCAGGCATTTCAGATAAGGGATACTGAACCTGTATTAGCTCAAGTAACAAGGGTGTTTTTTTAGGCTACAGTGAACATGACAATTACAGTTGGAGGAGAGCAAAAGTACTGACTCATATGAACAGAGAATATAATTTTACTGAGTTTTTTCCATTCTTCATTATTCATATCAGCATTTAAGTGTTCGTCCCTACTAGATATTGTTTCATGGAGCTGGGATCACTAGTGGTTTTATCCCAAGGGACATGACAAAAAGTGGGTGAGACAATGAAGGAAAAAGCTTTTCCTCTGCCACCAACCAAGGGGTTTTTCTACTGGACTAGAACAGAACAGGATGGATCATTTATGCATATTTTCTCCAGCTAACTTGCGACTGCTCTCTCCTGTCTCCCTCTCCCTTCATCAGCTCCCAATGCTGATGGTGGTGTTTGCTATAGTGCTGACTATGTTCCTGGCTAACAAAAATAATCTACTGATCTGAATAACTTGTGACATGTGCCTGGAGTAAAATCAGAAGCAAGCAACTCAACGAAAAGCTCAGACAGTTTGGGTACTTTACAGCTTGGATTTCCCCTCCAAATGAATTGGAATTTCTATTTTTTTTTTAACCTGCTATAAATAAACTTCCCAAGACTGCTCCTTGGAACTTTCAGTTTATTCCTGAATAATATATCACAGTTATTACACTTAAATATCTTGGTCTACTCTCCTTAGCCCAATTCAGGTAGAAGTATATCAACATATCAGTCCTCCTGTTTTCCTAGGAGACAATACCCACATAGGACAGGCTACCACACAAGGTATATTGCTCCTCAAACTCTCCTTTTCCCCAGCATCCCTTTCCTTCTACCTCTTTCCAATGAAAAATGAATAGATACCTCTGCTAAGTACAGATTTCCAAGTACTGAAATGGCAAACATGTACTACCAATGCTATCACCACCACCACCACCTATTCCCATTTGCATATGTGGCCAATTGCTCATAGCATTCTTCCCTCATGTTCTCAAGACACTTGGAATTGGCACTTGACATGATTCCTATTTGACATCACCAATCCAAAGATGTTTATTTACTGAATACCTTCTAGATAGGAGGAGAATTAAAGTCAGAGGGCCACAACTGGCAGTGTCACTATCTCAGAGGAGATGCTGAGGTCAGCAAAGTCATTCTGAGTCCTAAATCGGGTTCTGAGATCCTTCTCCCAGGCATTTAGAATATGGCTTGGGAACAAGCCTTATGGACACTAAAGGAAGTAGGATTTGGTGTTGACATAGCAGTGATGAGATCCTGGCAGTAAACACCCGTAATGGGATTAGGGCTAAGCAGTTGTCATTTCCTTGGTTCATGTGAAAGGTGTAAGACACAGGATAGCCCAGGAGGATCCCAAATAAAGTACAGAGATTCCAGTCTGTGGAATGGAGCCTGCTATGGGAGACACCTACAGACAGGTCCCTCTGCAGGCCATGCAAATGCATGATGAGCTCGGTCACGAGGGCCTTCAAGTCCTGAAGCCGGTCCAATGAACAGACAGAAGGGTGAGGATGTTTGCTGGAAATATCCACCACGGCTATGGTACCAAGCAGCACCTGCTCCAAATGTTCACATACATGCTTAAGATTGACAATGAGGCTATTTTCTCCAATCTCAAGAATGTGAAGTCCCAGGGCCAGGAAGCCCAGCCCCTGCAGCTGCCCCAGGTAGTTCTGAAGCTCCAATACTCCTGCAGAGTTGCAATCATAGAGCACAGCTGGCTTCAGTCCCCAGGCCACAGCCAGCACCTCTCCAGCTAGGTGGAAGCAGATGGCTCGAGGATGACTCTTTCTCTTTCCCATGCCCAGAGTCTGCTGAGCAGCTGCCACCAGTAGCTGAGGGCTCAGCGTTGACATGAGATCTGGAAGCAACATCAAATATGGCCTCTTTAGCTAGCAACAGTTCCCTTCCCTGGGTCACATCTCAGATCCAGACACTTGAGGAAGAGAGCTGCACATCTGAGAATATAGTGACTTTCAATTCCATTATTTTGAAGATACATAGTTTGATAGTGGAGTAGCCTTTTAAAAATTCATTTATTAATTCTGGTAATTGTTTCCTTTGCTGTGCAGCTTTTTATTTTGATGCAAACACAGTTGCCAATTCTTGCTCTCATTTTCTGAGTAATTAGAGTCCTATTAGAAAGGTATTTACTCTGCCAATAGTTTCAAGGGTCTTATTTATGTTTTCCTCTAGCAGATTTAAAGTTCTAGGTCTTACATTTAGATTTTTGATCCATTTTCAACTCATTTTTGTACAGGGTAAGAGATAGCACAATGAAACTCCTTTGTTCAGTTAGTATACACTAACAAAAAAGAGAAAAAATAATTTAAAAAAATCAGTCATTTTATCAACTGGCACAGTGGCTCATGCTTAAAGTCTGAGTTACTCTGGAGGCAGAGATTGGGAGGCCATTCCAGGGAAAAAATACCAAGATCTTATCTAAACAAAAAACTGGGCATGGTAGCAAGCACTTGTTATTTAAGCCACAGGGGAGGTGCAAATTGGAGGACTGCAAAGATTTTGGAAGGATTTGCAACTTTACCAATTTTTAAAAATGGTAATCATTGTTCATCTTTGATTTCTCTTAAATATTTACATGCATTCCCTTGATAAATATAACTGGCCCTGGCAACCTCTTGATGAAAGTTTTCCAATTACAATTTCTTCATTGTTCAATGCCTCTTTCCTTTGAAAACAGCTTTGGTAGTTTGTGTATTCCAAAAATTTTCTTATTTTATCCAAGTTGTTAAATGTATTGGCATAAATTTGAACACACTCCCTTATTATATAATTTGTGTATTTTCTTTTTATTTCTTGATAGGTTTGTTAAGCTCATTATTTATATTGATCTCTCCAAAGAATAATTCCATGCTTTAATTCCTGTAAATTCCAAGGAAATTTGTATAAAATATAATTATAGAATAGTGCTGCTCTATTGGAATATGTATTAACATTGGACTGAAACATAACATGGAGACAAAAAAATAAGTTCCATAACAACATGTAGACCAGTCAAGATTTTAGAATAAAATTTAAATTATTTCTATCAAATTTGTGTTATACATGCATATTAATATATTTTTAAGGTAATCCTTTAAGTTTGTAATCCTTATTACAAACTTAAGATTACAATGGAGAACATAAGGCATAATGGGATGGACTGTGTGAATAAAGCCATTCCCCCCAAACAATGTATTTTAGATGCACAGGAGTCTCATCCTAAATATGTTATCCCCCTTGGTTTGTCAGTTTCACTTGATGGTTTTGAGCAAGTTGTTTAAGAAATTAATTTCTGATAATATTTAATTTATTGATATTAAAACAATATACTGTTTCACAATTAGTATTAAACTAAGGTTAAATACAAAAATTAAAGGACATAAACCAATAAATCAATACATGGAAATATCACAAGGAAACTCCTGTGTAGCTCCTGTATCTCAAATAAGCAAAAATGTCATTTTTCTTTTTATCTTTTCTTTTTATTCTTCTATAAAATCAGTGAATAGGAGGACAGAACAGGTTCTGCTCAAAAGGGAGGGTTGGCACCAATGGGAGGTGGAGGTGGCCTGGAAAGGAAGTATAGGAGGGTGAATACAGTGTGAAAAAGGTGTACACATGTATGTAAATGCAAAACTGATGCCTGTTGAAACTGTTCCAGGAATCAGGGGAGTAAGGAGTATAAAGGAGAACAGTGGAGGGGTAAATTTAAGTATGATATTTTTGATACATTATAAGAACTATTGTAAATGACATGATGTACCCCCACCCAGAACAACAGTAAAGGAAAAAGAAGAAAAACATTGAACAAGAAATGAAAAAAAAATGAGTGAATCTATTTGTTGAACATATTTGAATGATGCTGTGGGGAAAGTCCTCTCATAGTGGGATGTGATGCTCAAAAAATCAAACATTATTAGTGTATAGTGTTTTTATGTTGAAAAAAATGGGGATGTTGAGGGAAGATAATGAAATATATTAAGTACATATTTTGACTAATTATCTGAAGGGAACAGTGCCTTAAGATACAGTAAGAGATCTAAACTATTTATATGGTAGTGGTTAGGTTCTTTCTGTCTTTCAAAAAGCTATCAATTTCAAGGGACTGGTAAGGTGGTTGTGAGCTTTACATCCAGACTATACTAGATATTAGAACCAATTATTTCATTTGGATTCTTAAACAGAATTATTTCAAGAACACATACATGGAATTTTGAAAAAAAGAAAAAAGAAACAGATTGGAACTCAGAATTCTATAGCCCTATTTCAAGATCTGATGAATGCTAATCAAATATAATTATGGATAATTTGTTAGGTGATTAATTATTGTATGAGAATTACATAATAATAATCTTGTATGTAGAATTATATGAATGAAACAACAGCACTATCTATACGACCAGTGAGATAATGTTAACGTTATATATTTCATCTAATGAAGGAAAGAACTGATAAATATGTTTTAATTTTAAATTTAATTAAAATGCTTTCTTTAAAACTTTTCATAATGTAGTGGAATACTATTTATCTCCCTTAATCTTTATGCAAATACAATGGTAATATGGTTCCATATTAATATGTACTTGTACGTCTCTGTATTTTTTCTTTTTTACTAGTGTATATTATAGTATAAAATAATAGGTTTCTTTGTGACATTTGCATACATGCAAATAATGGACTTTGACATACTTACCTCCTCTATTACTCCTTTTTCCTCTCTTCAGCTACCCCACTTCTACATCTGAAATAGTCCCCTTTTACTTTCATGGCCCCTAAATTCCAAATATGATATAAAATTCGTGATACTCACCTTTATGAGATTGACTTATACACTTAACATGATCTCTAGCTCTATTTCCTGCAAATGGCATTATTTATTTCTTCATTATGGTTGTATAATAACATATTTTTAACTATACCTTGTATGACCCCATAATTTCACTCAATGATAACCACAGATATGCAAGTATGTCTTTAGTAAGCTTGACTTAATTCTTTTGGGAACCTGTCTTAATGTTGTGTCTAGATCATGTGTAAGTTCAAACTTTTAATTTTTTGAGGAACCTCCATAATGATTTCCATATTGCCTATACTAATTTATATTATTTATTTATATTCCACCAGCAGTACATAAAAGGTCCTGTTTCATACATCCTTACAACATTTGTTGCTGCTGTTTTCTAGATGATAGTCATTATGACTGGGTCATGTGGAATTTCAAAGCAGTTTTGATTTTCATTCCTGATGGCTAACATGACAAACATTTTATTTATTGATGTTTTTCTTTCTTCATTGAAAAGTATCTGCTCACTTCAATAAACTCAATTGTTTTATTTGCTCCTCTGTTAATTTTTGAGGTCTTTCATATAGTTTACATAATAATCCCCTGTCAAATAAATATCTTGCAAGGACTTTTCCCATTCTTTAGGCTGTTTTTTGCACTGTGATTTTTTCTTTTTCTTGCAAAATCTTTTTTAATATAATGCAATCTATTTGTAATATTTGTACTATTATTTTCTGAACACTGGAGTTATATTCAGAAAATTGTTTCTTATGCCAATATCTTGAAGTTTTTTTCTTAAGATTTTTCTGCTGTAGTTGCAAACTTTTCAGGTCTTTTTTTAAGGTATTTGATACATCTGGAGTTGAGTTACGAACACAGTGAGAAATGGTGGCTATATTCACTATTCCACATATGACTATCCAGTTTTTTCAGCACCACTTGTTAAAGAAGCTATGTTTTTTCATGTACTTTTGGCATCTTTGTTGTTTTCAGATGGCTTGTAGCTCCATGGCTTTATTTCTTGGTCCTTTAATCTAACCATTCCTCTACATTTCTATTTTCCTGCCAGTAACATGCTGAGATTTGGGAGTTTTGTTCATTCCTTTATTTTTTTGTTTATTAATATTATTTACTATGACTCTGTGCTGTAGTTTGAAGTCAAGTATTATAATATCTGCTAGCATCAATTTTAGGCTTAGGGTAGCTTTGACTATCCGTAAGGATTTTTGGCTTGCTGTTTTCCATTTCTGTGAGGAAAGTGATGGGAATTTTGATGAGGTTGCATTGCATCTGTAGAACACTTTCAATAAAAATGGCCATTTTTTAGCAATATTAATTCTGACAACCCATGAACCTGGAGATCATTCTAAATTGTATCTTCTACCATTTCTTTCTTCAGTGTTTGATAGTTCATTCTAGAGTCCTTAACATCTTTGTTTAAGTTTATGCCAAGGTATTTTTTTAGGCAATTATGAATGGGCTTGTTTTTAAGTGTTGATTTTCAATGCTGATACTTTGGGTCAAAGGTGTTTTTTAGATTTAAGAGTTTCTTGGTGGGAGTCTTTAGGTCCTTTAGTATAGGATCATATCCATTGCAAATGGGAAAAATTTAATTTCCTCTCTTATTTGTATGTCTTTTTTTTTTTTCTCTCTCTTTGCCTTAGTCTCTGGCTAAGATTTCAAAACTATATTGAATAACATTGGTGAGAATGGACAATCTTTTTTTTTTTCCGACTTTACAGGAAAGGTTTTTCAGTCTTTGCCTATTCAGTATAATGTTGTCATATTTACTGAGGTATGATCTTTCTATTCTTGTTTCTTCAAGGATAATTATGAAGAATGTTTGAATATTGTCAAAGGGTTGTTTTTTTTTTATTTTTATGCTGAGTGGGGGTACATTGTGGCAATTTACAAGTTCTACACTATATCAAATATATTGTGCTTGAATGCACCCTCCACTATTCTTGTCCTTGGTTCTGTTTATAGGCCATATTATGTTTATTAATTTTTGCAAACCTCAATGATACATACTTGCATCCAAATAATTAAAACTTGATCATGTTGAGTGGCCTTATAAATGTGTAGTCA